CTTGGAATTATTTCTTTTGCTCCTGCTGACAAGCTGGAGGTTGAATTATGTGCTCAGTCTGAAAATGTTCCTTTAGGCTCTTGCCTCTGAACTTTCTAGCCACTGCAGAGTAAATAGGTACTGTGCTGTATGCAAATGTAGGCATATTTGTCTGAGTAGGCCAAAGGAAGGGAGGCATTTTGCAAAATGCCTTTCGAACAGAAACAAACTTTTGAGATGAAATATGTTACAGCCTCATGGAAATAAACTAAACTTTTCGGGAACAAAAAGTACAGAGAAATACTTATCTATACAATAAATTGGAGAAAAACCACACACGAAGCAAGACATGACTAATACTTCAGCAGTGAGCTCACCTCAAGCATTTCATGAATTTCACATGACCCACCCACTTTTTCTCTGTACCTCTCAAGATTACCATATCAGCAGCAATAATACTCTGTTGTTTGCGTGCCAGATTTACATATCAACGTAGCCATGGCATTCCTGAATGTAGAATATTGTACTGTTCCCCTTGTTTGTGGTTTCTATAAGAAGGTTAATTTTTGTTCCCTTACCCTCCTCACTTAATCTCATGCCACCCCCTACCTCTCTTCAATCAGAGGTTTGTTTTTTTCTTTGAATAGTTTTCCTCTTTTCCTTTCTCAGTCTCTGTTAAAATTTGAACTATCCGCAAATTCACTGTACAACCGTCCTGATTTCAAAATTTTTATTACTCAGTCACAGATGATCAACTCTTTGAAAAGACAAGCCAGGGTCAGAGAAGTAACAGCTGGTTGCTTCTGGGATGACTCTGGGATACCTTCTTCCCCAAATGTATGGTGTATGTTAAGGTGGGTCAGAAGCTACCATGGTAGATTTCATGGCCACTTTTGTTTCTTTCTTGGTAGGCTTTGTTTTTAATTATTTCTAGATTGGAGATGGGTCTGGCAAAAACTTCCATGCCAGAATTGAATCAAGCAATTTTCATTTCCAATGAAAGTTTGGAAAAGGCTAGATAATTTTTAAATTTGTATACTCTTATGTGTCAAATTTAATGAAAAACCAGCTGGAGCTGAACTATTTTAATGAGCTTCCTTTTTCTCTGATGTTCCCCAAGGGATATGTGCCAAGAGGACCCATGTGGCTCAGGGAGTAACATGATCATCTTGGCTCTGTTTAGACACCTGTGCTCTTTTAGCCTAGTGGTAAGAACAGAAGAGAGAGGGATGAGGGCATGGAAGGCATGCAGGCCTAGTGGGTGTAGGTGTGTGCCATGCTGCTTAGGAATTCACTGTAAGAAACCCCACAGCAGCAGCAGAGGCTTGAAGCATCATAGGCCAACAGTGCCTCTGTGTGGGGTGTCTGAGAGTACATGAAATGTGTTTGTGTGTATGTTGGGGAGGGAGGAGTGGGAGAGGAGAAAATTATGTGCATTTTTAAAAGGAACTGCATGCCTTGGAGGTTCTTTTTGAGAAGGCGATATAGGGGAAAAGATTTAAAAACGTGAATATAAAGTATGCCTAGGACTAGAACATATTTGTCATCGAAACTGCCTCCCACTCTTTAAAGAAAATACATTTGCGCATATATGCACAACCCAAGGACACGGACAATGGTGGGGAGAGGGACTGGGGAGGGGGATGGGACGGGTGGAATGGATCATTGGGGAGAAAAAGGGACGTCTGTAATATTTTAAACAAAAATAAAATTAAAAAAGAAAAAAAAAAGGAAATATATTTGCTGTGTTCACTTTTCCTTTTGTAGGAATCAGTCTGATGCTTGGCTCTCCCTACCCACATAGCACGTAGATATTAAACTTGATCTGTATCATTTTTTCATTGGGTGCCTTGTTTAGTGATTGTTCATAGTCTCCTGTATATGTGAATTTCTCCTTCCTGGACTATAAAGTTCTTGAGGATTTATACTTATAGAAGCTATTACTCCCTCTTGTTCTTCCTCAGCTATTTGTTACCAGTTCTGGGTATTTCTCTGCAAATGTTGAATGGATGACTACACAATAGTTCATAAGATTTTCTTCCACTTACAATGTCTTATTTTATGCTATGATTAAGGTTTACTTTTATAAATTAAACTTTTTAAAAAAGAATTTCTACACTTTCTAAAGTGTTTTTAGTTTTTTAAATTTAATTCCTATTTTAGTTGTGTAATGTTTCAAATGTACAGAAATACAAAGAGAACAATACAACATACATTCCACCACCAGATTTAACATATTTGCTTCATCTCTTTAAAAGTTAAATATACAACCAACCACCCAAGACCTTCCCCATCCCAGTCCCCCCTCTCTCCCTACAGAAACCACTCTCCTGAAGCTGGTGTACATACTGCCCCTGCAAGTTTTTAGATTTCCACTACATGATTCCAACGATCTTAGCCCTCCTCCCGAGGGGCTGGCAATTGGGACTGTGAGCTGCTGACATGCATGGCCATCCATGGAAGGGCAAAGTGGACAAGCACCATCACAGAGGGCTGGGTACACTTATTTTTTTAACTGAATTTATTGGAGTGACGTTAATAAAATTACATAGGTTTCAGATGTACAATTCTATAATACATCATCTGTATATTGTATTGCGTGTTCACCACCCCAAGTCGTCTCCTTCCATCACCATTTACCCCCACTATACCCTTTTACCTCCTCCCACCCCCCTTTCTCTCTGGTAATCACTATACTGTTATGTGTCTATGAAAGTGTTCTTTTTTCTTAATCCGGTCACCTTTTTCACCCAGCCCCACAATGCCCCCTGAGAGCTGTCAGTCTCTTCTCTATCTATGAGTTTGTTTTTATTTTGTTCATTAGATTTCACAAGTGAAATTATATGATACTTCTCTTTCTCTGACTTATTTCACTTAGCATAATGCTCTCCAGGTCCATCCATGTGAGTGCACTTTTGTCACAGTAAGAAAAAGTGCCAGAGAACTAACCCAGGAGAAAAACAGTTCCACCCTGAAGAACAGAGCTTAGCACCGGCAAAGGCATACCTGAGGAGGCAAACTGAGGGCAGGCTGGGCACAGAATGAGGAGGCTAGGAAGTGGAAAGGGACTCGTGGAGGCATTGAACAAAAGGGGTATTAGATGAAGAAGAGGAAGAGAGTCTGCACTAGCACAGACTTTTGCCCCCTTGATCCTCAGAAAGGAGGTGGCTAGGCAACTCTCAGATTGCCAGGTATGTAGTTTTGGGGGCTAAGAGTGCGCCCCTGGCTGGATCCAACAGCCACAAACCCAGCATACCAGACCTATTTAGCAACCCATTGACCTGCCTAGGCTGCATTTACTTGGAAGAAGTGACCTTCTTTATAGTGCCTCTGAAGGGTTATATAGATCAGACAGAGATGACTCAACTTGCCTATTACTACTCTCCCTCAATTTAGAGTTGCCAAATAGAAGACACCCAGTTAATTTTCATTTTCAGATAAAGAATGAATGCTTTTTTCAGTAAGAGTGTGTCTCAAACATTGCATGGGACATACTTATACTACAAAAGGTATTTATCTGAAATTCAACTGTAAGTGAATGTCCTGTATGCTTATTGCTGAATTTGGGAACTCTACCTCTGTTGAATTTTTTTAAAAAAATTTTTAAATATATCTTTATTGATTTCAGTGAGAGGAAGGGAGAAGGAGAGAGAGAGAGAGAGAAACATCAATNATCTTTATTGATTTCAGTGAGAGGAAGGGAGAAGGAGAGAGAGAGAGAGAAACATCAATGAGAGAGTCATTGATAGGCTGCAGCCCGCAACCCGGGCATGTGCCCTGACCCGGAATTGAACCCCGATCACCTGGATCCTAGGTCGAGGCTCAACCACAGAGCTACGCCCGGCTGGGCTACCTCTACTGAATTTTAGAAAGGTTTGAAAGGAGTTAAAAGGCTCTCTAGAATTACATTAATGAACACACAACCTTTGTCACGTTCTTATTGGCCTAATATAGGCTAAAACAACAAGTTCACTGACTTCATTAAATCAGGACACAAAGATAGTTATTTTTTTAATGGCTTTATTGACATATAATTCACATACCATAAAACTTATTTAAAATGTACAATTACGCGGGTTTTAGTATATTCACAGAGCTGTGCAGCCATCATCAAATCAACTTGACAGCATTTCATCGCCTCGAAAAGAAACCCAGTACAAACCCAGTACCCAATAACAATCACTCCCCATTCCCAGCTCCCCTCCCTCCCTGTTGTTCCCCAACCCTCGCATCCCCTCCCCCTCCAAACACTCATCCACTTTTTGTGTCTTCAAACTTACCTCTTTTGGACATTTCTTTATAAATGGAATCTACAATATGTGGCTTTCCTGTCTGGCTTCTTTCTTTCAGCATGTTTTCCAGGCTTATCCACCTTGCAGCATGTATCAGTGCTTCATTCCTTTTTATGGTCTAATAATGTTCCACAACTGGCCTATTTATTCATCCATTGATGGACATTTGGGCTGTTTCCACTTTCTGACTATTACGAATAAAGCTTTTAGGACAGAACAGTCGTGTGCAAGTTTTCATGTGGACACATGTTCCCATGTCTTGTGGAATGGCGGGCCATATGGTAATTAATATCGGGAGGGACCGCCAAACTGCTTCCCGAAGAAGCTGCGCCTTTTCAATAAGAAACCTTTAGGATACTCTCGGTGTCCCTGAGGAGGGCCTGCTCCCAGGGTCCCTACCTCAGGGCTGCCTCCGCCGGGCCCCAAACGCCTGACTCCCGCAGCCTAAGCCGCTGGAATCCAGGGACAAAAACCTCCCAGGGAGCGCTGTGTGGGAAACGCGGTTTTGGCCTCCCGCCTGGCCCCGCCCTCGCAGCGATGGCGGCCGGGGGAAAACAGCCGCTGGGCTGAGGCTCTGTGGACATTGTAGTTTTCTTCCCAGTCATACACGTACAGACTGCGGTAAGGAAAACTACAATTCCCAGAATGCCGCGGTGCTACCGCGGCCGAAGGGGCCATTCCACGCGCAGCACTCCCGCCCGCCCTCTCGTCCGGGCAGCTCTCCAGGGCGTCTGTAAACACACCCAGACTGTCATGGAGGGGGAGGAGGGGGCGGTGGCTGCGAAAGGAGGCGTTTTGGACCTCCTCCAGGGTCCGCTCTGCCATTCCTGAACTGGTCCCTCGTCCCCGTGACTGTGGCATCAGGGAAGAGAACTGTTAGGCGAGAGGAGGCAGTCAGAACCATAGCCCCTTCTTCCCCCGGGGCGGGGGCCGGGCCGGGCCAGGCCGGCGGAGCCGGGGAGGGCAGGGGGAGGGAGCGCCTGGCCAGGCTGGCCTGCCTGCCGAGATGGATGACAGTAAGGTAAGTCCTGTGGTTTGCACGCGCAGCTGCCGCCTGCTTGTCGCTAAGTGCTGGTCCCGCCGCTGAACCTCAGCTCTGTAGTCCGTGCCACCACCAAGAAACACCTGCCGTAGACATCCCCGCGCCTTCAGTTATTACCCCAGGGTACCCAGCCCGGAATTCAGGGAGCAGCGGGCTGTGTTGTTCCAAAACGGGCCCTCTCCTCTGGGAAATTTTCACTCCCAGGGCAAGCCTGTTTGTCAGCTTTACCAGGTAGTGCCAGCCCTAGTCCTTGCCTTGCCTACCGAGATAATTGAAGGAATTACTTTGCTTTCCCTTTTTGCCTTCCCTTGCTCCCTCCCAGCCTCTCTTTAGTTTGGAGATCTTAAGTAGGATACCCTGAACCAGCCCTGTTTCCCTTGACTGTTCCCCTTTCTTCTCTCCTGCTACCTTACTCAATGCCCCATTCATATAATCAGTTCACTCCCCCTCTGAGCTATTTTCCTGTGGTTGGTTGGAACACTCTGCTAAGCTCCTGTTGCTATTCGTCCAGAGTCTGGAATCTAACCTCCTCTGGAAAGCCTTCTCTAAGAAAAGCAGTGAAGTCTTTCTTGTTAATCTGAATAACCCATCACCACGCCCTTTCTCTATCTAAATCACTTATCCTTATGATGATAAGATCTCAGACAATGCTCGTTATTGGTAATTCGTATGTATAACTTACTCTTTTTTACTTTATGTCTTTCCACATTAGTGCTCTCTAGCTTTATTTCATGAAGATAGGGACGGTCAGCTTATTGATCATCAGACTTTCCGGAATTTGCCAGTTTTTGAAGTGGAAATTGCTCCTTCCCTTATGCTATCCAGAGGTCTCACTTTCCAAAATCTCCAGTATGCTGCTGGAGATAGCTTTTTTCTTTGTTTGGGTGCCCTTTCCCCCCTCCAGGTAACCAGTAACATTTTGCTGCTGTCCAGCTTTTGTTTCACCTATCATCAGAGAGATTGAAAAGATTTCCAGCTTCTCTGTACTGCTTTGTGTTAGTCTGCATTATCTTCTCTTCCTGTTCCTGCAGAAGGCTCTGAAGAAAGCGATAGACAGAAGGGAAAGCCCAGCGCAGTATTCTGGAATTGAGGCTCACCTAGAGAAACAGTCTGCTTCTGAAGTAGCGAACCCCTTGTAATAGGGAGTGGTATTTCCAAGACAGAAAGGGGGAGTTCTGAAAGTTTTCCAGAAAAAACAGAAAATAACTTTTCAAAAAAGCCTTTGCTAGCTTGATCTTTCTGTTAATTTTGAACTTAAATCTGCATACTTATCCATTATCTTTCCCAGAAAATAATGTTATGGCTGTTTAAGAATGCCAAAATAACATTGTTCTTTAATTTTTTTAAAATTTGAGACTCTCGCAGAATAGTCTACATAATTTTCAGTTGTTTCCTTTTCACACCTTTGAAACAATCGCTCTCAAAGTCTTCAATAATCTCAAACAGTCCAAGAAAAATACATAGGCTTTTGAGTTATTTTACTTACCTATAAAGTCACATAGGAGTTATTTCTAGAGCTAGCAAACTGTATGGGGGGTTATACAATTTTATTGTTTTGCCTAAAAGAGTGAATTTAAAATTGGGGGTAAACTATTCATTGCTTACTTCCTGTAGGGTCCATAGTTACTCAAAATAAATTCAGTTTTCATTCTTTATTAATTCATTGTTTTTATGAAAGAATTTGGAAACCAGCAGTTTCTTAAATCTTTTAATGATTGTGGAAAGCAAAACCCATTTCAAATGTCTATGGATGAATAGTGCCTCTGCGAATACACTACTTTCACTTGGACTACATGTCATAGTTTTGGGCGAGTAATATTTAAATGCCATGTAAAAAAAGACTGGGCTGCTTTCAGCAGTCAGGCAGTGTCAAACAGCCCTTAAATAAGACTTCGGCAGCTCCCAGTCCTGCCTTTTTCTGTGCTCCAGTTGTTACAGTCCTACAAAATTGTATTGACTTCCTAGTACATACATACATACATACTCATGCAAAACACACTTCTCCCTCACATTATGTATGGGTGATGGAGTCTCAGGTTCCACTTTCCCCTGTATAAGGGAAGGTGAGGGTTGGGGCTTGGAAGTATGGCAGCTGTGCAGGTGAGAGCACAAAGGATGACAAACACTGACAGCCAGACCAGGGCAGCAGGAAGAGGGTGGAGTGAGCAGGAGCAGCAGTGATAGGCAGTATTTGAATGAACAGTCAAGAAACAGGTGATGATAATGTGAGGACCTCCCTTTATAAAGATTCTTTATCCTGGCAATGAATGAGTTTGCCAAGAGCTCTCCACATTCTGCCATCTCGTTTCCTGGAGTAAGAGCAGGAACGATTTGCCTCCCTAGTGTCTAGGATTGTGCCTGGTGCAGCATAGAGTACTAGTTGTTTTTTTGTGTGTGTGTTTTTTAATATATTTTTGTTGATTTCAGAGAGAGGAAGGGAGATGGAGAGAGAGAGAAACATCAGTGATGAGAGAGAATCATTGATCGGCTGCACACCTCCTGCTGGGTATTGAGCCTGCAACCCAGGCATGTGCCCTGACGGGAATCGAACTGGGATCTCCTGGATGATAGGTCGATGCTCAACATTGAGCCATGCCAGTTGGGCGAGTACTAGTTGTTAATAGTGACTAAATTGAATTGGAACAGAGTGGCATTACGGAGAATGCCCCGATGTACTTGGGCTTTATTAGTCAGTGTGCTTCATTGAGCCAACCAGCCAGAGTATACAGATGATAGCAAATGGGAAAAATAAAGCAAGAGCTATATGGGTTATCTAAAAGTGAGGGCTTGGGAAAGTGCTAAGTAGCAGAGTCCAAATACTAACAGTAGATCTCTACTAGGTTAGTTGGGAAGGAACCAATCTTGGCTAAGTTATTTAACCTTTCTGAACTTCCATCCTATCTGTTATGTGGTCTATGCCTTCTTCACAGGCTTTGTTAAAGATTAGATAAAATGCTTCGAGTACAGAGTCTAACACATTGTAGGTACTCAAAAAATGTTATTATTAGCAGTGACTTCCTTGGTCCTTAGCACAGTGTAGTAGGCACCTAACATGTTCATTTTACTAATTCTTAAGTGTGCACTGTTGTGTAACATTTGCAGTTCTTTACTCCTGCACTACTACCCTTTGTTCCTAACTGTGCTCCCAAATGGGCAGGGACAATGGGATGGGACATGAAATGAACTTAAACTGTGCCCTAACTATCAGATTATGTGAGAAAGGTAGTCTCCTAAGCCCACCTGCATGTTCACTTCTAGGGAAAAGTGCTTGTTCTTATGAAAGTCTTTTTTCCTGGATTGGCAGCATTCAGTTACAAAGATAATTGAAATGTGTTATTTTCAGAGGCTTTGATCATAGACAGAAGGTTCTTGTTTTATATTTGACTTTTATGTTTATTGAAATGAATGAATGAGTAAATTGAAATATCCTAGACCAGATGTGTTCCTGCCACAGACTATGAACTAGTAAAAGGCCACCATACTTTATTGCCCAGTCTGGCAGTTTGGGGCATCAAGTTCCAACTGAGGGACTGATGAAAGAGTGGGCCAGCTGCTGGTCACAGTATGCTTCTATGGGCTGTTGTTCTCCATATTGTACTTCCTTTTTACCTATATGACATATGGTTATCTGTAAATGAGATTTCTCACACCTTCCTTAGGTAATAAGAAAGTTCTTCTGTTCTATTCAGTTGTTCTGAGTAGTGCTGGTTCTCGCAAAAATTTTAAGTTGGCCAAAAATATCTCTTTGGCATTCCCAGACCTGTCCTTTGGCCTCTGAAGTCCCTTCTATTGGCCCCTTAGCTGTCTTCTGCTGCAGTTGGAGCTACCCTCCTTGGACAGTACCACAAAGCTCAGACATTTTCTGCTTTTTCTATCCTGCCGATACTTTCCACAAGACTAAGACAAAGAGCCAGCTCATCTACTAAATAAATCCAACAGTAAATATTAATATTTTAATATGCCTTCCTTTCTCATCTAGGGTACATGCACATTTTAACTAGGGTCCCTCTACAGATAGTTTAACCCTAGGGGGTAATTTTAATACTACACAAACCAATTGAAATTTAAATAATGTTTTGCTTTCTTTTCAGAAAAATTTATTTATTCATTAATTCATCAGATATTTGTTAGACACCTAATATGTGCCAGGCATTGTACTAGATAGTATAGGTACAAAGATCAGTAAGAATTTATAACTATTCTCAGGAACTTACCTTTCAGTGGGCTAGGCAGACACATAGAAAAATAATTACGATATAGTGAGGTAAGAAATGAGGGCACTAGAGGCAAAAGTGATTTTGGGGGTACTAGAATGGATCGCTGTCTGGGTATGTCAGATATGGGTTCACACAGTAGGAATGAATCTGTAAGGAAGAATAGGAGTCCCCCAGGAAATGGGGAGGGGGGAATATCCTGTACTAAAGCATATTGCACTGGCAAATAAGTATTTTTGCTACAAGCTAGAGCAGGAATTGACAACATCTTCTATAAAAGGCCAGACAGTAAATATTTGTTGACCATGTGATCTCCGTTGCAATTACTCAACTCTACCATTAGAGCACGAAAGCAACCGTAGTCAGAATGTATGAATGGATGTGGATGTGTTTCAATAAAACTTTATTTACCAGAACAAGCAACAAGCTGGTTTTGGCTTGCCAGCAAGGCTATAGTTTGCTGACTTCTGAGCATAAGGCACAAGTAGAGGTGTGGGCAGAAATATGGATGGAAGATAATCGGGCTGGATCGTGATATGCCTGGCAAGTTAAGCTAGGAAATTTGGGTTAGTATTTTTTAAAGTGGAATAAAGAAGACACTGGCTGAATCAGACTCTTTGGGACTGGGGACTGAGAATTTTAATTTTAATAGGCTCCACAGCTGAGTGGCTCATATGCTTACTAAAGTTTGAAAACAGAGGCCATAGATATTGGGGAGCCACTGAAGGATTTCAAAGCACAGGTGACAGTATCAGATTTGCGTTT